GTTGTTACACAACATTGATTTCACATTATTCACAACATGAATGTTGGAACCAAATATGAGTAGGTCGTCTACATAGAGACATATGATAGTGTAAATGTCATTTTCTGATTTGTAATAAATGCATTTATCACTTTCATTCACCTTAAACCCATTCGATATGATTAAGTTATCAAACTTTTCATGCCACTGTTTAGGTGCTTGTTTAAGACCATACAATGACTTGTCTAACTTGCAGACTTTATTTTCTTGCCCATGGATTACAAAACCTTCAGGTTGTTCCATGTAGATTTCTTCTTCCAAATCACCGTTTAAAAAAGCGGTTTTAACATCCATTTGATGTACTACTAAATCATGTATCACAGCGAGCGATATTAGTACTCTAATGGATGTTGTTCTAGTAACAGGTGAAAATGTATCGAAGAAATCTACATTCTCTCTTTGTCTGAAACCTTTGGCTACAAGGCGAGCCTTGTATTTATCCACTGTGCCATCAGGTTTCAGTTTCTTTTTCAAAACCCACTTACAACCAATCGGTTTGCAACCAGGTGGCAAGTCAGTCAAATGCCAAGTCTTGTTAGACTCTAGAGAATCCATCTCATCATTTATGGCTTCTTGCCATAAATCAGCATCCAAGGAAGTCAAAGCTTCTTGGATAGTTGATGGATCATCTTCCAATGTATAGACCATATAATCAGGTCCATACTCTCTAGCAGTTCTTGTTCTCTTACTTCTTCTAGGTTCTACTTCTAACCCATCATCACTATCTCTAATCACAGGTGTGTGACTAGATGATGTGCCCCCACTATTCCTCAATTTAAAAGGGAATTTCTTTTCATCAAAGTCAGCATCATTAGACTCAATGATTACTTTAGCGTTAAGGTCATAAAACCTGTACGCTTTGCTGTTTATAGCATACCCAATGAATACACATTCATAGGCTCTACTAGCGAGTTTAACTCTCTTGGGGTCTGGTATCCGGACATAAGCCAAACAACCCCAAGTTCTGAAATAAGACAAATTAGGTTGTCTATTCTTAAAGAGTTCATATGGGGATATTTTGCTCTTAGTCTTGGGGACTCTATTTAGCACATAACACACAGTTAATAAAATTTCACCCCACCAAGAGGGTGCTGCACCAGAACTTAACATGATAGCTACTACTAATTCAGTTAATGTTCTATTCTTTCTTTCAGCTTTACCATTCATTTCAGGTGAATATGGTGCAGTGGTTTCATGAATAATGCCTTTTAATTTATAAAAATCATTAAACATGCTAGAATCATACTCAGTGCCTCTATCGCTCCTGAGTTTCTTTATTTTCTTATTGAATTGATTTTCAATTTCAGTTACATAGACTTTAAACATATCAAGTGCATCACTTTTATTTTTCATAAGATAAACATAAGTGAAATCAGAGCATTCATCTATAAAAGTTATAAAATATCGTTTACCATTTCTGATTAACGTTCCATCTAATTCACATATATCAGAGTGTATCAAATCTAAAGACTCAGATTCTCGCACTACTGATTTATGTGATTTTTTTTAGTTATTTTAGCTTGACTGCATGATTCACAATTTTCAAAATCATTTTTAGATAACTTGGGAATTAATCCTAAATGACTCAAATTTGTAATAGCACATTTATTAATATGACAAAGTCTAGAATGTCAAATATTAAAAGCACACAACATGTAAATGCAAGTAGAAATTTTATTCATGGAAAACCAACATTTAATTTAAGCATATCATCAGTGGCGTCCCCATTCCCTACAAATAACCTATTCTTAGTAAGAGTATACAAGTCTGCTACTATAGTCTAGGTGAAACCAGTTTTATTAAGAAGAATACCTGGAACTAAATTATTCCTCATCTCTGTAGTATGCATCACACCTTTGAGAATCAGAGTCATCCCATATGTAAACTTCAGCTCCACATCACCAGTTTCAGCAACAGTAGTGGTGTGAGAGTCTCCCAACAGCACTTTCTTGTTATCAGCATTCGTGTATGTTTTGAACATAGCACGATCATAGCAGACATGGCGGGATGCACCAGTATCTACCCACCACCCATCACTTCCTCCAATCATTGTGACCTCAGTTAACACTGCCACAAGTGGATCCTCAACCATGTTAGCTTGTGGAGGATGATCCACTGGTTGGTTCCTGCACTTTCGTGCCATATGACCTGGCTTCCCACACTTGAAGCAGATAAATAGGTTGCCAGAGTCATTCTTTGCGGGTGGTTTAGCATATTGGACCTTTTTAGAGTTCCAATTCTTGTTGCGGCCGGTGATCTTAGCCTTATTCCCATTGTGGTTCTGATTCTTAAAGTTGTTGCCCGAAGGCTTCAGAACTGCACCTGAGAATTTCTTTCTAGTGCTATTGCTTGATAAAGCCAACACTTCTTCATTCTGATCTTGCTTACGAGCCTCTTCCTCAATGCGAAGACGAGTGATCAGAGATTCCAAAGAAAATTCTTTGGTCTTATGTCTTAGGACGTTTTTAAAGTCCTTCCAGCTAGGTGGCAGTTTGTCAATAATGACAGCTACCTGAAATTGCTCATCTAAGGGCATACCCTCAGTGATGATCTCATGAGCAATTTTCTGAATCTCGTGGGACTGAGATTCTACTGATTTATCATCAGTCATCTGATACTTGAGGTAGCGGCTAACAGCATATTTCTTAGTCCCAGCTTCCTCAGTATCATATTTTTTTTGAGTGCCTGCCAAACTAATTTGGCAGATTCATATGGGATGTAATAATCATATAGATCATCAGACAACCCACCAAGAATGAAATGCTTACATAAGTAGTCATTATCATTCCACAGAGCAATATCCATAGCTAGTTTTTCCCTTTCCTCTTTCTCAGCTTCTTCAGGGACTACTGGAATATCTTCCTTCAAAACGTGGGCAACCTTTTTAACCGTTAGGAAAAATTCCATCTTGGTTTGCCAGCGTTTGAAGTTAGTCCCGTCAAACCTGAATGGTTTGCTTAGGTCGAAGCTGTTCGGACCAGTAATATTATCTACGAGTGCCATTGCAGTCGAATCGTCTTAAAATTGTTGTATCAGTAGCCTGCAACAATGACACGAGATAATCTTTACTGGCTGAGTCACGACCAGGTCGCTCTCTTTAAGACGTTTCGTGGTACTGCCTCAAGGTGCAAGCAGACTATCAACCACGCCGTCCCCAGGATAAAACAGCCCAGATCTCTGTTATACGATATCTTACTGCACTGTAAGAATCGCTCTCGAATACACCCAAAATATGGCTACCAGTGCCAATTCAGAAATACCCACAATATTGGAATATCTTATTCCAACTCTAGTGCCACGGAAAGAAAGGGAGAGAAGGAGGCCGGAAATGCGTCGGCAGAAAATATTGAGGGAGAAAGAAAAGAGCAAGTAAATTCGTACTTGCTCTTGGTGCAAAAAATAATGAAGGAGGAGGTCTCTATTTATAGAATGAGATTTTGTCACTACTCTTGCATCCTCCAATGTGGGACTTGTGAGATTTTTTCAAAATCTTTCAATGTGGGACTTGTGAGGTTTTTACAGAAACTTCCAATGTGGGACTTGTGAGTTTTTCAATTTCACATCCTAAGGTCCACACTAATGACATCAAACTACACAAGTTCCAACAAATGTGACAAAAGATACTGTTTTATCAATAATAATCATGTCATTGAGTATTGAAAATATGCTAAATTACATATACTGAGTAAGTTGAAGTTATTAAAATATAATCTCCATTAAAAATACCTTGAGAATGAGATCCAAGTAAGGACTAGCAACAATTTCTGCAGAGATAACCACAACAAATACTCTATCCCTATGTACAGCAATATAAGGTTGTGCTTCTGAAAGAACCTTCACAAACTCTTCATCCTCCTCTGTCACACCATAGTCATCAGGGCCACACCAGCACCCTCTCACCAAAACCTCTCTCTTTCTACTTCTTTCTAACCTGGAACCACAACCACAACCACAACCGACCCTTCTATTTTTCACTCTTGTACCATAATTCAAGAGAATGTTAGAACTGGGTATACGTGAAAGCCAGTTTTTTTCTTCGCTTTGTAGAGAAACCAGTGGGTTTGAACTAGTAGCAGCCATGTGCTTCTCCTCTCTCCCTCTCTCTTCTTTCTGTAATAACTCAACAAGAGATATAGAATGAGAGATTTTCCTTCTAAGATAGCGACATTTTTAGCATTTTAGAGAGCAAATCAGGAAGTGCCACTAGCAAACTATGAATTATGCGGCGAAACGGTGGCGTTGGATAGAGACAGAGAGAGAATAATATAAGGCTTCAAAGCCTTCAAATATAATATAATAAAACATAATGGATGATTTATTTGAGCCTCAAAATTCTTGAGGTACTTGTTCCGTTTTACGTGGTAGATGTGGGCACTACCAAAATTAACGTGTTCGGTGAAAGGAAGAACTGAGGAAGGTGTCTCTGTCTTTTCTCTCAGATTCAGCCATTTGTTTTGTTTTGAGCATCACAAAGACAATGCTGAATGAAGCAAGCAGAGGTATCTACTATCTACCTAGCAAAGGAATCAAACAAGAAACATGAATGAGGTTGGGAATTGGGAATGTTTAGTCAACTTTCTTAAAGTTTGTGGGGAAAGCTCAAACAAGAAAGGTCCAAGTAACGCTGTTAATGTCCCTACTCATGACAAAGATTCGGGAATCATGCTCTATTATTACTGTTATACCACATTTAATAATACCCATGCCTGTGCTATTATATAGTAACTCTGACACTGTTAACTCTAATTTTCCATCCATCGTATCTCACTCACTCCTCATTCCTACGTTATCTTATTCTATATTTGTTCATTCTTGCTTTAAGTCCTTCTCAAGGTTCTTTCTTTTTTTGTCTCTATTGTACTAGGTAATTCTGCTCATCGCTGCTTTAATTAATTTTGCTTATCTTTCATCATTGTTTTTGTTCCTTGTTCGATTTTTATTGCTACATGGTTATTGGGCTAAGGTTTAAACTCTTGTAATTTGATATTATTTGGGAATATGTTGATTTTAATTTGTATATAAATGGGAACCAATGGGGTTCATTATGCTGTTTTTCGGTTTAATTGATAAGCTCGTAGTGTCTCATTGGTATGTACTTCTTTTATGAGTTTTGACATCTACCTGCTCATGAAATTGATTTGGGGTCTGGTACTCAAGGTTTTGGATTGAGGTTTTACCCATCACTATGCTTAGTTTATTGCATTTTTATTTTGGGGTTGAATTTTGTGAAAGATTCCCTCATATTTTTTAGGTTGTTCTGTGAGTACTTGCTGTAATCCATCAATATGTGATGTGATGTGATGAATTGAATTTAAGTTGCTTGGACACAATTGCATTTGAAAGCTTACTTGGTCACTAGACTCTTTGCTATCGTTTAAACTATATTGGTCTTCCCCTCTTGCAACTTAGCAAATTTTGTAAATGTTCTCTTGTACTGATGGTAAATATGTTTCAATTTGTATCTGACTGATGTGAAAATGTGACTATAGTAGGGGAAGCTTATGAACCATAGGCATATAATATATATACTTATAATCATCATGCATGGGTAAGCAATAAAAACTTCATTTTGGTCTAATGTGACTTGATAGAACCAATCTTCTCTTTATGTTTGCAGGAGGACTCAAAGACGAATTTCATTACTCTAATATCATGTTAGAAATAAAGGGGAAAGTGAAAGGGGGCAAGAAGGAGAAAGGGTGAAGGGAAATGTATCCATGATATAGTGTCTATTTAGTACAAGATAGATGTCCTATTTATATCACAGTACATAATAAAACAAAGACAAAGCCTAGCTAAATAGCATAGACTAAATAAAATGATATCTCAGATATTTTAACACTTAAAGTTGATAATGAATAGCTGTCTAAAGCATTGATTATATCCTTGATAAGGAATTAAGAATGATGTAGACATTAGACATAGCGCTGGAGTGTCTGTGATATCTGCCGTAAAAGCCAAACATTAGGACTAGGAATGCTTCATAAATATAACAATACCATAATACAACAAACTGGTTTGTGAAAAGGGTTATTTAAAAAAAATGTAATATTTATACACTGTCATTATAAAAATTTATATATCATCAATATAGCATAAATATCGTTATGACCAAAGTATTATTAGAACAAGGCATGTAAATCAAGCACTGACAGCAAAGTGAAAAGAGTAGCGACCCTAAAAAAATTATCTAAGGTAAAAGCAACATGGATTGAGTGTGTACATTTAATCTCCAAAGTTTTGAATGCTGAATTGCTGAAATTGACTGTTATGAATGTGTGGCTAAGTGGATCATGTGACCTAGTATATATAAACAAATATTATTGTCCATGATCATGTGACTCCCACAGTGTCTGAAAGTTGAATCTCCAATAAATAGATTCGGTCCATTTCTATGTCCTTGGATTTTAAAATTGAAAATGTATTACACAACTCCAACCTTACTCTCCTCTAGATTGAAGACCACTTAAAGATGATAATTAATAAATAGTAAATAAATAACATAATATAAAAATGTATGTCCCTCCAAGTCCCAACCAACTTTAGAGTAAAGAATTGAACACAGCTTATAAAGATTCATCTGGTCTTAAGTCTTGACAAATAACATTTACAATGGTGCCGTCTATACCTATATTCAAATTCAATTAAAAAATGGTTCCAATCAGTAACATAATATCAATACCACAAAAACAGATCCTCTCATACGGTAAGGAAAATATATCAAAATTAAAAGCAATATCATATGAGAATTATACTATTTAGATGTAATAATACTATGATACTTCCATCCTAAGAATAAGAGCAAAAATGATAATTTTTTATTTTAATGGAGGGGATTTTAATTCATTTTCTAGAAATACTGGAGGATTAGGATGAACATGGTGACATTGTCATTAAAAAATATTAAACAATTTAAATTATTTTTTAAAAATAATTTATAAATTATAAAGCCAACTTTTACCTCTAACCCCAATACCACAACTTTGTCTAATATTGTTACTATTTTTTTCTTTTGTTTTTTCCCACTGTTTCTAACCATCTTAAAAACTAAATAGAATCAATATTACCTTTCATGAAAACAAAAAAACTAACAAGAAAGGAAAAGAGTAATGTGGGTCACAACCTGGTCTTCCTCATGAATCATAGTGGTAAGTATAATGATGAAAAAAGAAAATAGATTTAACGGAATATTAAATGTAACGAGGTTAGACATAGAGGAGTGGAGTACGGATCAATGGAGATTTAACTGATATATAAAGTATAAAAAATAAGAAAGACAGTTATATCATTCTATTTATCTATTAACTTAAGTGTAAAAATGTTATTCGTTAATGGATGGCATCCATATTCAGATGGGTGTGGATGGAGAGAGAGTTGGCAGAGCCACGTGTCAGTGATCAATTGGGTTTGAAAGAAGACCGAGAAAGATTGTTGGTAGAGGAGTGGGCATTCATTCACAAATCACAAAGGGAAAAGCAGTCAAAGCAAAACCAATGCGTATAGTTAAAGCAAAAACTGTCATGGTCCAAGCCTTTGCTGTCATTTTTACCTAAAATAAAAAAAGGAACCCCTTTAGTGGCACCTCACCCATTTGGTTTTGCAATTCACAATTTCTTCTCAGACCAGGGTTTGTCGTTTTTCTATTTTCTAAGGTATAAATTGATAGTACTAGTTATTTTTTAAAGGCATCTTAGATATATTCGATTTGGTAAAACGTGATATGCCATTGAACCACAGTAGTTACTATTATTTGTTGCAAATATAGGGTTTGTTTATTTTTATTTATTTAAAAGATTGGAACGCCGCACCAGTTATTCATTCGTCCCCCGTGGGGTTTTTCATGGACTTTTTTTATTCTCACTTGCTTCCTCGTTCCCTGCTAGATAAATTGCTTCTTCATTTAACCCTTCAAAGATTAACTTATCCTTTATGTATGAGACTCACTTGTGATAATACGGATTAAATTGATTATTTTTTTTTTGAGTTTTAAGAGTAAAAATTTAATATAATTTTAAATAAAAATGTTAATATATGTTGATATTTTTTTAATATTTCACAACACTTCTCTCTCAAGTAATAGAGATAGTCTAACTAAGCCATAAAAATTATCCCATTAGAAGTCCTTACATCAATTACTTTGTTTAAATTTTAGCATTATTTGAAAGCCCAAATCATTTTTAACCCTGCAACTTAAGAAAACACACCCATTAAAAATTAATTAATAACTTTGTGTTTCTATATATTTTATTTTATCAAATTATTACAAATAATATATGTATATATAATAATATTGATACTTATGTGCTTCTAAATATGTATCAAAATCAACACATTTCATGTAAATATATGAGTAATAATATTTTTTTAACTATGTGAATATAAGTCCTATGTATGTTTTAATCATACGAATGCACATGTAACATGTATATTCTTAACCGTATGATAAAAAATGTCAAACTTAGTAGTCATATAAGGAAAGAGATTATTATAAATAATTTTAGTAATAAAATTTGCAGTTTGAAGTATTCTTTTTATATTTTTATCATTTAATATTTGTGGTAAAAAAAACTATTTGTATTAACTTTTACTCTCTCCTCATACTAATTTTTGTAAGTTAAAGCTAGATATTTAACTATATGTGTTTGAGTTGAAACCACAATAGTTACTTAAAAAACTAACTCTATAAATGAAAAATGTCAACTTGGTATAATGAATATTAACCTTTAACTTTGATTATCTAAGTGCAAAAATTTCACATCACATATATTATATTTTCTGAAGTGTTTATTAGGAAGATTATTTAGTTTTGATGATATAACAATATGTGAATCAATAGGAATACTATCTCTGTTCTTGTTTATCTTCCCCATTACATCCCAAATTACCCATTATTGATTCACATGATATAATATGTTCATGTGAATCAATAAGAATATAATTAATAGTGACAATATATAAATTTTATAAACTATCAATATAATATATATCAATTATATTTGATCATTATTCACTTTAAAAAATAAAAATATAATAATTGTATATAAATATTTACACCAACAATATATATATTAAATTCATTTTTTAAACTGGTTTTCACGTAATTGCATTAAAAAGTTCATTTATAGTCCACACGAACTCGGTGTTAGATAGCAGTCAAAGGCAATGAATGAGAGCGCTGGAAATGCATAATAATGTCACTGATTCTTAGAACGCCCTAAGATATCAAAATTAAGAAAAAGAACAAAGGAAAATGACTTTCCAGGGTTTTGTATAAGGTCAAGGATAACAAAATAATATTTACACACACGAACATCGAAAGGGATATTAGTGTAATTTTATTCTGGTACAAAGGATTTTAGTGTAATTTAAGTTTAGGAGAAGTTATATAGTAAGATTATTATCATAGTAGCAGTTTATTAATAAAATAAGAAAAAGGTGAGTACAGAGTAGATGACTGCACGTGTGGTGCGAAGGTCGAGAACCTCTTTGACCGGTTACAACCCGCACTTTCCCAGTCAACATTTTATTTTCTTGAAAAATTAAAAATAATTAATCTGTTTAGTTCATAATGCTTATCATGACATAGAATTGAATGAAATCCACCCCAAAAGAAGTAGCACTATAACGAGAGGGATGGGTTAATGTGCACTTCAAACTCTTCTTTTTTAATTGTTTCTCTCCCATTTCACCTTATCTTTCTTTCAATTGTTTGACATATTTCTTTTTATTTGTTCTTACTACTCTTCTGCAATTCACTGTTTGGTCTTTTGATTGCTCTAGATTCTTTTCTTTTTTCAGTTAACCCACCCACCCTTTTTCATTAACTCAAACAAGCTTGATTATATGTTCATGATGTGAGATATGATACTCATTATTTTGACCATACAAAAACAGATCAGATAAAGGGCTATTATTATTTGTACAATAATAAGCAACTTAGTTTGTAGCTTCCAAATTATTTCACTCACTCTCTTTCCCCATTTGAAGAGTGCTTGTCATTCCAGTGATTTTTTTGGTTTTTAGGTTCCCTTCCTCCCTTTTCACTCTCTGCTTTGCATTTTCCCAAGTTGGTATTTTTCTTGTTTTTCTCTCAAAAGGGTTTTCAAAAATGCCCATGTATCAGCCTTGTAAGAGGGACATGGTTGTTGTTGGGTTTGAGGGTGGTGGTGATGGCCAGATTCTAGATCTGGATACTGCAGTCAAAGATGGTGTTTTGGGTGGTGTTGACGGTGTTATTGTGGGAACTGGGGTTTGTGACAAATT